GCGCGCATCCTCAATTCCCAGGCCGGTCTCGGCCGCCCTTGGTTCCTCCCCCGACGCCGGTGCTGGCGAGGCCACGCCGGGCGCCTGACTGCGCCGGGCAGGTCCCAGGGCCCTTTGGAGCGACGCCGAGCGGAGCGCGGCAGGTCCCCCCAGGAGGCTGGTGTGAATTCTCGGGCCCAGGACAGCGAGGCCCAGAGCGGCGCCCCGCCGGCCTGCGGCCCGCGCGCAGCTCAGCCCGGGGTCCCAACGAGGGGCCTCCTGAGACGGCTGGGGCTTTGGGGCCGAGGCTTCTGCAGCCCCAAGAGCGGCTCCGGGGGGTGGCGGAGAGCCCTCCTCGCGCTCCCGCGGAGCAGCAGGCGGGAACCCGAGTGTGAGCCGTGGGGCGCGGCTCGTCTGAGCTCTGAAACCAGGTCTCATGGCGGCCGACTGTAGGCCCCATCGGGTGCAGGAGGGACGGTTAGCAGCTGCCCCTTCGTGCTTCGTTTACTTTAGGATGCGGTTCTGGCTGGCACAAACTGGTAAGCGCTGGGCCGCTGCCCGAAAGCTTGGGGTGCGCACACCTGGAGGTCCGGCAGGAGAAAGCCCTGGTGATCGGACCGCCGAAGGCAGCAGAACCCTGCACACGTGGGCTCCCCGGGAGTCACCGTTGAGCTCAGGCCGCTGGTGACTGCGCGCTGCGGTGGGGGGTAACACGAGGGGCGTGATGTTTCCTAACAACAAATACGATGAAAACTGCCCAGGCCGGCTCAGACGTCCCCGCCGCGACCGTGTGCTCGCTCTGCTGAGGACCGACCGGTAGCTCAGGGCTGAGCCGCCTCAGGATCACCCGGAGCGATGCTCGAAGCACAGACTGTCCCCCGGGTTCTGGTTCCGTAGGTCCGGAGTGGGTCCGCAGAATTGACATGTCCAGCCGTTCCCGGGGGAGGCCGCTGTTGCTGGCCGGGTAACTACACTTTGAGAACCACTGCTCCACAGTAGCTGATGTGATCTCTGCAACAAGCCGATGAGATAGCTGTCCTTATGACCCCCATTTTGCAGTCAGGAAACTGCTATGTAGAAGATGTCTGACTCTGAAGCCTGTGACCATAACCACGCTGTTCCTTTGTCACACGGGATGCAGGTACATCAGGTCAGCAAAGGTGATAGCAGTAGACTGCAACAGCGTCTCAATCAGAGCCTCCAGATGGGGGCTCAGAGCCTACACTGAAAGCTAGCATTTGGTGCCTCCTTTACCATGAGGCCAGAAGAATGAGATGTGCCCACCTACCATAGCTAAACGTTTTGATCAAAGAGTCTATAGCAGAATTCTGGTCAATAGGGGGAAAACTGCAGAACAAAATTTCAAAATCTCAGTGAAATCCAGATTTTTTGGAGCTATCAAGACTGGATAAAACTGTTGCCCTGAAACAGTCTTTAAACTTTAAAGCTATCCCTCAAAGTCTTCTTTGAACCAAAAAAATAGCTTATCTTAAGTAGTAAAGTCTGTCTGGTTTGAGCATTCTGCTCTCTCAAAGAATTAATCATGTGAGATCAAATTGACAGGGCAACTCTGTCGTTGGAAGGTTAGGGGACAGTGAGTTTAAGTTAATGGTGGCAGAATAATTTGGAGGAGGACAGGGAGAACGGTAGCACGGCTTGAAGAATGTTGTCAGTGTCACTGAATTGTACGTGTAGAAATTGTTGAGATGCTGTATCCGTGGCTGGGTCTATTTTCACCAAACTAAAACATTAGGAAAAAAAGAAAAAAAATAGCTAGCAGTTGACCTTGGGCTTTGACCAGTGCCCTTCAGTTTTCTGCCATCTTCTGTACTTCCTCACCCTCAGTAAGAGCCTGCCCTGAGGGCAAGGAGGGCACTGATGGACTGCAGGGGTATTTGATCGTCAGTGTTGGGTCCCCAGTAAGCAAGGGAAGCATGGGCTCCCCCGTGCTTACTTACTGACCTCCAGTGAACAATTGCGTGTTTTCACCGCAGCAAAGATCTGCTTCTCGGTGTGGCTGGCATCTCTCTCTCTCCCAAAGCCACAGCACTTTCCTCTTCTCAGATGTGCAGTCTCTGACAGAGATGGAGTCCCCCGTACACCAGGTAAGCACGAGCTTAATTGTGCTTACTGCTGAGTCTGTAGTGAGCAGTTTCCCATGTTTTTCACTACCTGACCCCTTGCTCATGGAGTCCTCTGCCCTGTCTATGGCCCAGTAATGCCCAGAACCCTTCTGATGAATTTGCCTCGTGGTGCTCGGCCACAGTTTGTCACAGCCTTTGTGAGGTTAAAGAAAGGCAGCCGCCTTATCTCTGGTCTGCTTCTACCTACAAGCAAACAGCTGCACCTTCTTACTCTCTCAAAAAACAAACTTCAAAGGCACAGTAACAAACCATTGTTAAAGAATTTAAATGCTGGCCCTTTTTATCTGTCCTTAATTTTCATTTTTAGTATCTTATACTTTAGTGTAAAAAATCTTGAATGACAGGTCGGATTGAATCTCAATCTCAGCCCTAAAACACCTGGAAGGGAGGTCAAGCTTTAAAAGCCAGTGCACTGAAC